AATTTGGATAGAGTTCAGATGGGTTTTACAGTTCATTGTTGTTGTTAAGTGCCATCAAGTTGATTCCGATTCATAGTGAACCTATATAGGGTTTCCAAGAAGCAGCTGGTGAGTTTGAACTATTGACCTTGTGGTTCAAACTTACCTGGTGGTCCTGTGCTTTATGCTACAAACATCACACCAGAACCTCTTAAAGATTATTAGAGGATTGGAAAAATAAATCATATTAATCAGGGTTAAAGTATCTGAAAATTATTAAGCCTGGGGAATGGAAGCTTATTGGTTGATCTAATAGGAGGAGTCTCTGCTATCTGAGTGTTGTTTTATAGGCAGCCCAGTGTACAAAGGGTAGTATTTCAAAACTTCATTTCTTAATTGATAGGAAGAAATGTCAATGTCATGGATAATAAAGTTGAAGAAGTGTAACAGTATATGTTGTAATGAAAAATATTAGGAAGTAGTATTGTATTGAAACAATGTTTTGGGCTTCATGGACTTCAACAGCTCCTGGACAATGCAAGATTGTAAAAACTATAAACACCAGGTATAAGGTACTCTTATCTCATTGGGTGCTTATCTGATGAAGTGTACGAGATGGGAAAGACTTAATACCTAGATATGGCATGTAGTCACAATGGTCAAGTTAGTTAGGAATTTAGAGCTTTTTGCCTGTAGTCTTTTGTAATGATCTCAGAACCACCACTATCCCCTTTTCTGATATGCTCTGCATATTATATGATATTCCTAACTATGTTTAGTTTTCCAAAGTCCCCTTTGAGATTGCTCCCACAGAGCACAGCAGTTGGGAATTAAGTGGTTGATGAGTAATAACCTTTTGTTAAGCTTCTTTTAGGTGGCCTTGGTTGGGGGTAGTCTTTGGGTTGATTATCTTTTTATTGGTCAGGTTGGGAAAGGAAGGACAAAGAAGAGCAGCATTTTATGGCAGTTTCTTTGTCCATACTTCACTTGGATTTAATATGACCTGAATTGACCTAAATTGAGTGGTATGGATTATTCTCCCAAGGACTTCATCCTGTTTTTGTTTTTGTTTTTAAAGATTTTTTGTTGTGAGCCCTGAATTGGTAGAACTTGAATTTGCTTAGAATTTGTGTAAAACTAGGTCATTGGTTCTCAAATTTTGGTGTGAATATGAATGGATTTGGAAGATTGTGTATTTTGAGATGCTGGGATCTCACTATTGACTGACTGAATACGAATCTTTCTGACTGAAATGTATAGTTATTTATTTAACTTTTGAAACCATATGCAGACAGGGTAGTATAATGAACCCCATGCACCCTTCATTTACCTTCAGCAATTGCCAATTTATGGTTAATCTCATTCCATTCATATCCCTAGCCACCTTTCCCAGAAATGAAAAAATTTTCATCTAAACATGAAATGTATATATCTAAAAGGTTCCCAAAATGATTTAAAAATCTTTTTTAACAAGTAGTACTTATACATGGTACAAAATTTAAAGTGGTAAAGCAGGATGTACTTTTACAAAAAAGTAAATCTTTCTCGTCTCTCTCAGGATTTTTGGTACTTTTACCAAAGATGTAGTTTATGTAGCTACAGATTCAATGCATATTTTCATACACACATATTCCCCCCCCCCTTTTTTTTTTAAATTAAACACACATGGTAAGCCCTGTAAGAAGCCCTGGTGACACAGTATGTTGAATGGGCTGCTACCTTCAAGGTTAGAGGTTCAAGCCCACCAGCCACTTTTTGGGAGAAAGATGAGACTGTTTGCTCATACAAAGATTTATAGTCTTAGAATCCTTACAGAGCAGTTCAGCTCTGTCCTCCATGGTCACTATGGATTAGACGTGACTCAGTGGCAATTTTTGTTCTTTTTAAAGACTGTAAGTTGGTCCATTAAATGCATATGTCAAGGTGTATTTAATCTGTAAACATCCATCAAAAATGCATTGGTTATTTCCATTTTTTTTTTTTTTTTTGCACAATGCAGCAGTGAATATTCCTGTATTATGTCTGAGATGCCTGAATTTCTAGGTCACTTTTGTTAATCAGTTGCTGTTTAGTTGACTTTGACTCATGGCAATGCCATGTGTGTCAGTGTAGAATTGTGATCCATACATTGGGTTTTCAGTGACTTGTTGTTCAGGAGTAGATTACTAAATCTTTCTTCCAAGACTCCTCTGGGTGAACTCGAACCTCCAACTTTTTGGTGAGCAGCTTAGCACATGAACTTTTGCACCAAGCACTCTGTCATTGAGTTGATTCCAACTCATAGCGACCCTGTGTAGGATTTCCGAGGCTGTAAATCTACTGGAGCAGAAAGCCTCATCTTTCTCCTGAGGGAGCGGCTGGTGTGTTTGACCTACTGACTTTGTGGTTAGTAGTCGAGTGCTTATTCTACAGGGGTATACATTTATAACTTTTATTTGAAGGTTAGTCTATTTACATGCTAATTATACCATACCTAGCTCTTGGACCAATTTTCTTGTTCTATAGGGCTCAATTTTTTTCCAGTACCATGATTGAATAAGATATTATAAGTAAAGCACTTATGAAACTGGTACATAGTAAGTGTTTAGCTAGGTAGAGATGTTATTATTGGTAGTTGCTGCTGAGTTGGCCCCTGACTCATTGAGATACCATGCACAGTGGAGTAAACTGCTGTCCTGTTCCTTGCCATCCCCGCAGTTATTTGCCCATGGGATGTAATTGGCTGGTTTTTGGAAGTGGATTGCCAGGCCCTTTTTTCGAGTCCATCTTTGTGTGGAGGCGCCACTAAAAACTTCTCAGCATCATAGCAGCGTGCAGGCCTCCTCTGTCTGACAGATGGTGGCAGCTGTCCTCGAGGTGCATTGAACCCAGATCTGGAAATTGAACCCAGATCTCCCGCGTAGAAGTTGAGAATTCTGCCACAGAGCCACCAATGGCCCTTATGAGGTAGTAGTGTTTTTATTATTTGTATGCAGACATATTGTGATGGTAGTCCATTGTTTCTGAATTAAAGAATTGATGTTTGCTTAAGAGCAACTGCTAAAATAATAGGAAAGCATACAGTTAATCCGCTATATTGTTGTTGCTCTTAAGTGCCTTCGTGTAGGTTCTGACTCATAGCAATCTTATGTACAATAGAAGGAGACACTTGTCTCATCCTGCCTCATTCTCACAGTTGTTCGAACCATATGGTGGGCAGTTCAAACTCACCAACTACTCCTTGGAACCAGTAGCACTTAACAACAATAACAGCAGTAGTGCTAACCAGAAGATTGGTGGCTGAAACACAACAGCTGCTCTGCAGGAGAAAGATGTGGTAGTCTGCTTCCATAAAGCTTATAGTCTTGGAAACCCTCTGGGACCTATTCTGTCCTCTAAGGTTGCTACCAGTCCAAATGAATATGGCAGCCATAGGGTTTTGGAATCCATAGGGTTTTGGAATCAACTCTAAATTTTAAGCAGTTTGTTTCAGATCCAGTGGGAAAGACAAATGTATACATACATTGGCAATTACAATGTAATGCAATGTATACTAACTGGAAGACTCCAGGGCCTTCTATGACAACATTGAATGCCCAATTCTGCCTGGAGGATGAGTGGTGAGTTTGTGTGTTTTAGGAGAGTTTTCAGCAAGAAGGTGTTACATTACCTTCATCAGAACCTAGAGGAGTTTGTTAGTGCTCAAAGGTAGAAGTGGAGGATATTACTTAGAACATAGCAGCTAACTTCTTATCTTTATTACAATTTGAATAAAGATTTTACCATAAGGGAGATTCCAAGATAATTTTGTGCAGTCTGACACACAGTGTTATTTAAAATGGTATTCTATCAATTGGTTCTTTTTTTTTCGACTTAACCTTTGCAGACACTAGTTGAGTTTCATGGTTATTTGCCTATGTAATTTCTGTTTTTCTAGTATAGCACTCAGGAGTTGTTTTTGTGTCTTTGCTTGTTTAAAACTGAGTTTCTTTACATAGTTCATAGCAATTCATAGCAACTCCACATGACAGAATAGAATGGTATCAAAGGGTTTTCTTGGCTGTATTATAGAAGCAGGTCTTTCTCCCATGGAGCTGCTAGGTGTGATGGAAACTGCCAACCTTTTGGTTAGCATCTGAGCAAGTAACCTTTGCACCACCAGGGTTCCCTGTGGCCGGCTTAAACTCTCTTTGTTAGAGTTCATTTTCCTTCCATGTTGATAAGACTTTTTAACACTGTAGTGCATGGTGTCCTTAGGAACTGAAAGGTAGTTGACTCAACAGTACCCAACAGCAGTATACATAGATCAACAGTTACTCGGTAGATTTCCTGTCATGTAAATTCTAAGTTGTTGAAATAATGATCATAGGGAGAAAATCAAGTTGGATCTTGATATGCCAGTATAGTAAGTAGATCCTTTTTCATATCTGAGTTAAATCAGAATTAAATATTTACAAATCAATATACACTTAATGGTGTGTATCTAGTGTTTGAAATTTCGCCTTTTGTCGTTGTTAGGTGCCATAAAGTCAGTACTGACTCATAGTGACTCTATGCACAACAGAACCAAACACTGCCCGGTCCTGTGCCAACCGTACAATTGTTGCTACATTTAAGCCCATAGTAATCTTACATTGCCTATAATCTTATATTCTTTTATGCTACCAAATAAATAGAATTTCACTTAAGTTTTTGAGGATTTGAGAATGCTTGGCTTTTAATCTGTTTCTCAAATATCAGTGTTCTAGTGTGGTAATGTAGGTTAATGCACTGGACTGGAAGGTCATTTTGAACTGCAGAGTTGGCAGTTCAATCTTAACCAGCAGTTCCTTGGAAACCTGTACAGGGTTGCTGTGAGTTGGAAGTGACTTGACGGCACTTAACAACAACCTTCTCAAAGGGAAAAACCTTTTAATGGAATTTAATTATTATTAGAGATTATGGATTTGGCCCTTGAAAGTTCTCTTCATGAGATTTAAGTGGCTTTTTTTTTTTAATTAGCTTTTTTTAATATGTCCTTTATCTCTTTTTCGTTTCTAGGTATGGCCTCACAAGTCTTGGTCTACCCACCATATGTTTATCAAACTCAGTCAAGTGCCTTTTGTAGTGTGAAGAAACTCAAAGTAGAGCCAAGCAGTTGTGTATTCCAGGAAAGAAACTATCCACGGACCTATGTGAATGGTAGAAACTTTGGAAATTCTCATCCTCCCACGAAGGGTAGTGCTTTTCAGACAAAGATACCTTTTAACAGACCTCGAGGACACAGCTTTTCATTGAAGACTAGTGCTGTTGTTTTAAAAAATATTGCAGGTGCTACAAAGGTCTTAGCTCAGGCCCAGCAAGCTCACGTGGAGGCACCTCAGATTGGGGCTTGGCGTAACAGGTTAAATTTACTAGAAGGCTCCCAGCGATGTGGATTGAAGCGCAAGAGTGAGGAGTTGGATAATCATAGTAGCGCAATGCAGATTGTCGATGAATTGTCCATACTTCCTGCAATGTTGCAAACGAACATGGGAAATCCAGTGACAGTTGTGACAACTACCACAGGATCAAAACAGAATTGTACCACTGGAGAAGGCGACTATCAGTTAGTACAGCATGAAGTCTTATGCTCCATGAAAAATACTTATGAAGTCCTTGATTTTCTTGGTCGAGGCACTTTTGGCCAGGTAGTTAAATGCTGGAAAAGAGGGACAAATGAAATTGTGGCAATCAAAATTTTGAAGAATCATCCTTCTTATGCACGCCAAGGTCAAATAGAAGTGAGCATATTAGCAAGGCTCAGTACTGAAAATGCTGATGAGTATAACTTTGTGCGAGCTTATGAATGCTTTCAGCACCGTAACCATACTTGTTTAGTCTTTGAGATGCTGGAACAAAATTTGTATGATTTTCTGAAACAAAATAAATTCAGTCCCCTGCCACTAAAAGTAATTCGACCCATCCTTCAACAAGTGGCCACTGCACTGAAAAAACTGAAAAGTCTTGGTTTAATTCATGCTGACCTCAAACCAGAGAATATTATGTTGGTGGATCCTGTTCGGCAGCCATACAGGGTTAAAGTAATAGACTTTGGATCTGCCAGCCATGTATCAAAGACGGTCTGTTCAACATATCTACAATCTCGGTACTACAGGTAGGTGACAACTGCTTTTGGGTTAATAAATGTTACATTTCTGCTAATTAAATTATTTGTTGTGTGGGGAGGGGGTGAAAAAGAATTTTTGGTTAAAGATGAGGTTTGAACTTTTAAAAAGATTTTAAAAATCTAAGCATAAGATTTGCCCAAGCACGGTAGAAATCTCCGCTACAAAGTTCCATGCCAAAGATATCTGATTGTTTTTACTGTTGTTAATAGAAGACTTGAAAGAATAATAGGCGATTAATGATCAAACAAGAGTTTCCTATGATTCAAACTAAACAAATTCGGATAGCAAGTCTTATTTAATGTTTTATATAATTTGGTTGTCAGAGTATTTTATGTGGAGACAGCCAATTATAACATACTTAAATTTCAGAATCTTCTCACTTTTCCTGGATCCTTTATTTTCTCTCACAGATATCTTCTTGTCTATTTAAAATATATATTTAAGATTAATTTTAGATGATTTTTTTATAATCTTGCAATGAGAAGATAATCCTGCCCTGGGTACTCTGGATTCTGTTTTAAGAGCTTACAGTAATTTGCCTGCATATTAT